AGTTTGGCTAATTGAAATTTTTTTTTTTATAAAACGTTTTATCAGCAATTTTTCTTTCATCATTTAAAATACAAAATAATAATAATAATAATAATAATAAATAAATAAATAATTTTTTGTTTTTTTGCTTGAACGGCTGATTTTCGATGTCGTGTTTATGATAATAATAATAATAATAATAATGATAATGATAATAAAATGAAAAAAATTTTAAATCATATATATAAATCGAAAAATATTTTTTAATTTCCGCTGAAATTGCAATTGCATCATTTAAAACGACGAAATTAATTTTTTTTTTTTTTTTTTTTTTGTTAAATCGAAAGCAGACGATTTTTTTTTTTGATTCGTGAAAAAAAAAATGAAACGAAAGATGCGTACATATGCGTAAGAGTTCCTTGGGGAAGGGGGAGAGAGCAAACGCGTCGTGATAAATGCGGGAATCCTTCAGCCTTTTTTTTTTTTTTTTTGTTTACAATTATGCGGGTATAATTTTATTAATAACCCCAAAAAAATTTCGTCTGCTTTTCATTCGAAACGAACGAATTTAAAAAAAAAAAAAAAAAAAAAAAAAAACATGAACGCCCCCCCGGGGGGAAAATTGTCGATTGGCGCCAACGGTCACGTGTTCGAGCACGTTCGGGAAAAAAAAAAAATCGCCTCGAAAAAATTGAAAACTCATACAATACAAAAAAAAAAATTGCTGATAATTAATTTACATATAGGAAATATTGATTTTATTATTATTATTATTATTATTATTATTAAACAACCGTTTCCGATGATGATGATGATGATGATTATGACGAAAAATCCTTTGAAATGAAAAAAATTCTCGGAATGAATCCATTATTTCTTTGAAAATAATAAATTTTTTTTTTTTTTTTTTTTTTTTTTGTGCGAGGTTTTGTTAAATTCATGAATGACTGTTGTGAACGAACGGTTTTATTTTATTGTTTTTTTTTTTTTTTTTTTTTTCGATTAGGTTGTTTGTTTGTTTGTTGTTGACAATGTTGTGTCGTCTTCTTTGTTTATGTTGTTACGATTTTGATCGAATTCTTTTTTGTAAATCCGTAAATGTAGGCTCTTCATACGGGTCGGAGTCGACGGATGAGATGGATTTCATTTCATTTCCTTTTTCGACTGTTTTTTAATACTGGTATCATTATTATTATTATTGTTGTTGTTGTTGTCGTTGTTGTTGTCGTTGTCGTTGTTGTTGTTTTTGTTGTTGTTGTCGTTGTTGTTGTTTTTGTTGATGTTGTCGTTGTTGTTGTTGCTGTTGTCGTTGTTGTTGTTGTTATTGTTACCGTTGTTGTTGTTGTCGTTGTTAAATTCAAAAACTTTTTTTTTTCTTTTGTCTTCCAAATGAGTAACAGGTTTTTTTAAATTTTTGTTGTATTTTTTGCATTTGCTCAAGACCTGATAAAATCAAAAGTTGTTAAATAATAATAATAATAATAATAATAATAATAATAAAAATAATAATAATGAGTAAGTTAAACAGGAATTGGATGTATAATTGATAATGTGGCGGGGGAAAAGGTATTCAGGTTCGTTCCTTCCGTTCCGATTCTCTCTCTCTCTCTTTCTCTCTCCAGTTATTACAGTTATGTATTTATTTATTTATTTTTCCAAGAACGATAATTTTTTTTTTTAAACGCTTCGTAAACGATCGAACGATTGATTGATTGATTGAATGATTTAAAATAAGAGACTGAAGGGGGAGAGTCTGAGTACGTTCGGGTAAAGTTCCAGGTATCGATAAGTTAAAAAAATTTATTAAATTTTTTATTTTTATGTACGTGAATAATGGTTGTGTGTGTGTGTAGTTACCGTTTCACTTTTTTTATTGTTTTTCGAAACCGTGAGAGGTGAATAAAATAATAATAATAATAATAATAATAATAATAATAATAATAAAAAGAAAAATGGCTGCCGGTTACGTTTCTTTTATATCAATTCTACTACTGATTGTACACGACTCTCGCCATATAAAAAAAAAATTTTTTCCCCTTTATTTTATATTTGTTTTTCGTTTTGCACAAACAAAAAAAAAAAAAAGAAAACCTTCTTGAAATTCTCGACTCGTAATCTTTAGACGCTCCCAGGTGATGATGATAATGATGATGATAATAATAATAATGATGACGACGATGAAAAATCCTCGCATGTTGTTGGTTTGTTGGAAACGACAAAAAAAAAAAAAAAAAAAAAAAAATATTTGTGGATATTTTTTGGCGATGAGTTAATTCGATACGATATCGTTTCCAGTACTTTGTCTCGTACTGGAATTCCAATTTTTTGGAACTTTGTCAACAAAATAAAATAAAAATATTTGGAGAAAAAAAAAAAAAAAATTTGTAGGAAAAAAAAAACACAAAAACACAAAAATTCTCACGTGCGTTTTCGTCCGTGCCTGATTTTGACGAATTTATTAACATTTGTTAATAATTTTATTTATTTATTATTATTATTATTATTATTATTATTATTATTATTATTATTATTATTATTATTATTATTATTATTCAGTTGTCCGTTCGTTTCGTCAGCGATTTTAGTTGTTTTTCAATTTGAATTTTTTTTTCTTCTTTTTCTTCTTCTTCTTGGTAAATTTGCAAAGTAGGTCATTACTAAATTTTTTTTTTTTTTATTTATGATTTTACCTCGGCTGTTACTACTACTTTCACTGGAAATTTATTTTTTTTCGTACGTGAGCGAGTGCGTGCGGGTGCGCATGCGCGAAAAGAAAATTTCAAAAGGAAATGAAAATGTCTTGTAAAAAACATTGCTGAGCAAAAAAAAAAAAAAAAAAATTTTTTTTTTTGGTATTTATTTCGTTAACCTTACTCGATCGAAAGCTGTCAAGGTTTTTTCGTTTCCTTTTCCGCCCTTGCCCCCCTTCCTCCCTCCCGCGCCCCCCAGATTTTTATTACGCGTGATATTATAAAGTGTCGGTTGTGATAATATTGATAATAAGTACAGGTAAAGGATTTGTAGCGTTTCATGATTTTTTTTTTTTTTCTTTTCAAAGGTAGAAGAAGAAGAAAACGTTTTTTCCGTTACGGAAATTCCTGGGGAAGGGGGAGGGGAGCTGCCACTCGTTTTTAATATCATTATCATTTTTCATAATTTTTTTTTTTTTTGTTTTGTTTTTCCAGGTCGTTTTATCCGCTTGCAGTACGTATTTCGATAAGATATTTTCCGAACACGAGGAAAAAGATCCGGTAGTCATATTGAAAGACGTTAAATTCGTCGATATAAAAGCTCTCGTTGAATTTATGTACAAAGGAGAAATCAACGTGGAAAATGTGAGTAAGAATTTTCCTTACTTTTTTCCTACATGTCTAATGTTGTCATGTAGTTTAATGCGTTTCATGAGTTCATGCAAAAGTTTCCCCACTAGAACCTGGTGGGAAATCGACAAAGTTTTCCTTTCCCTCCCCTTCCCTTCTCCCTCCTTGCCTCCCCTACCCGCGCTTCTCCCCGCCCCCCCTCATCATCACATCGATTTCGCAAATTTGAAAAACCGAACGTGTCGAGAGAAAGTTAACCTTTTCCTTTTTTTTCTATGGTTCGAACCTTGACCCTTTTGATCATTAAAAAGTCTGTGCGTGAATGTTATTCACGTCGTCGTCGCCCACAATTTATTTCACGTCTATAAATAATAATAATAATAGTAATGACGAGTAATGACGTCGCTCCTCACTTACTCGTCACTCATGATGTCATCAATTTAATTTCAGTCTCATTTAACGTCGCTATTAAAAACGGCGGAAGAACTTAAAATAAAAGGTTTGGCGGATGTTTCCGGTAAAACGATTCCCAAAGACGACGACGACGACGACGACGCCGAAGAAAATGATTCCATCACTTTCGGTTCGTCATCTCTCGCATTGCAATCCCGTGACGATGAGAGGAGCAACGATGTCAAACATGCTGCTGCGGAACAAATCGGGGATTACGATGACATGTTCACGCCGACCATCGTCGAAGGTGCACATTCCATAAATGTGAGAAAGATTTTACATATATATATATATATATGCATATTTCATTATTATTATTATTATTTTGAAAAATTATCGATCGGACTTTGTTCTACAGGAGGGAAGTGATAACGAAGATGAAAACATGGAGAAAAAAGACGAAGAAATGGAGGATGCCAACGAGTACATGGATTCAGCAAACGAACAAAGTTTTTCCACGTTAATAACGCAACTTTCGGATCATCCGTTACAGGTACGAAAAGGTCAAATCAAGGTCAAAAGGTTTTTTTTTAATAAATTTTTTAAAAATTTTTTCTGGTTTTTCCGGTAGGATTTTCAAAACGATGACAATAACGAAAGAAATTCAGAGCACGATAATTCCGAGACGACGTCAAATTTAGCATTGCAATTTCCCGATGTGATAAAAATGAACGATTATTTGACGACGGGAAGGAGGCAACAATTTTGGGAAGAACCTTTCACCCGAAGACTAATGGAAGCCATAAAAAACAAAGAAATAGAAATGAAAGCCGCCGCCGAACTCATGGGAGTCTCCTACGGCACACTCTACGGTCGCTACAGGGATGCGTACGGGTGTTTGAAGCATCCATACAGAACGAAAGAATTTTGGGCGGAACAAGGGCCCGCGGACATATTGGCCAAACTACAGAAAAAAGAAATAACGCTTTTCAGAGCGGCGGAAATGTTGAACGTAACAGTCACGACGTTGGCAAATTATCTAACGACTCTTCGTCACGAAAAGGAAAACAAAAACGAAAACGAAGAAAACCATGAAAAAGAAGAATCCGAGGATAACGTGGAAGAAGAAGATGACGAAGAAATGGACGTGAACGATTCTTTAGACGTTTTCGATGAAAATAAACCGGTAAGTGTGTTTGTCTGTTTGTTTGTTTGTTGAAAATCCGGTTGCATGGTATTCGCGCACGCGCACACGTGCACGCACCCACCACAAGTCTAAGGATACATTCGTATTCTGTTATTGTTTGTTTGTACACGCCAAGGTTACGAAAACTACTCTCACTCTCTCTCTCTCTCTCTCTCTCTCTCTCTCTCCCTCTCTCTCTCTCTCTCTCTCTCCCTCTCTCTCTCTCTTTCTCTCTCTCTCTCCCTCTCTCCCTCCCTCTCTCTCTCTCTCTCTCTCCCTCTTTCTAAAAAGCCAACCGGTTTTTTAATATATGAAAATTTTTTTTTTTTTTTTATTATTAACTCGTATTTAAAAAATTAATAATAATAATAATAATAATAATCCTTGCCCGAAACAAACAAACAAACAACAACAAACGACGTGGTACGTTTGTTTGTCTATACGATAATAATAATAATCAGGTTTTGTTTTATTTTTTTTTGAATTTCATTCCTCAGATACCCTCCAAAGATGCGCAGCAATCGAATAATAATAATAATAACAACAATAACAATTCGAGCATGATGAACGCCGAAGATGAAGATGAAGATTCGAGATCGACAAGCACAATGTTGGATCGTTCGGACGAAGATTATCCATGAACAAATGCCGGGAGAATCAAACAACAGAAACAACCAAACAAACAAACAAGCGAACAAACAAACGCTTGACATATTCCGTTTTTTTCGGTTACTGTACGAAAACAATCAATCATATCTTATACATAAGAAAATTCCATTTTGTTTCCGTATACGCGATACGTTATTATCATCATTATCATCATCATCATCATTATTATTACTATTTATACGTTTGAGTGTGATAGAAATAAATTTTTTTTTTTTTTTTTAAATGAATTTTTTATACGAATCGTAATTATTATTATTATTATTATTATTATTATTTGTTGTCGAGACGTACTAAAATTAGAAAATTAATTAATTAATAATAATAATAATAATGATGATGATGATGATGACGTGTTTATCAAAGTCTCGGGGTTTTTAGTTTTTTGTACTAAAATAAATAAATAAATAAATAAAAGAGAAAATTGTGGTGTGTTGGATGGACTACTACTACTACGCACATACTTAGTTAAATCAATGAATGAATGAATGATTGAATGAGCGGTTGAATGAATGAATGGGTTGAATAATGAATAATGAATAAATAGTCACTTTTATATATACGTTTGTTATTAAAACGTTGATAAATGATACCATTGCGACGATACACGTAATCAATTTTTTTTTTATTAAGTAATTTAATAAATAAATAAATAAATGTAATGATGATAATAATAATGATAATAATAGTGTAAGAGAGAGAGAGAATAAAAGAAAAGAAAATTTAGGAAATTTTTTAAATAAATAAATAATGATGACAGTGATAGTAGTAAATAATAATAATAATAAATGAAATTGTTTTTTTATTTATTTTATCATCATCGTTATTAATATTATTATTATTATTATTATTATTAATAAATTATTAGGTTATTTTTTTAATTATACAAATAAATAAATAAATTAATAAATGAATTAAAGAGAGGCTCGTCAAGTCAGTATATCCGGTTTTTTTTTTTTAAATATTTTTTGTTATTAATAAATAAAATTAATTATTAATGAAATAAATAAATAAAGAAAGAGAGAGAGAGAGAAATTAGATAAATTTTATATTAATCGATTGATTTTAATCGATTTAACTTAATCAATTAGTAAAATTTTTGTAAAGAGAGATAGGAAGAGTGAGTGAGGGAGAGAGATAGAAAAAAAATTATTTTTTATTATTATTATTAAAATCCGTGACGTAATTTAAAAAAAAAAAAGGGATATTATATTTTATTTAAATAAATTATAGAGATAAGAATATCATTAAACAAACAAAGAAACAACCAAACAAACATTAAAATAAATATAGATATATATTAAAACGGTTAATAATGAAATAAATAAATTATACATTTATCAATCGACGACTTTATTATTATTTCTATTAAAAAAATTTATTAATTATTATTATTATCAATAAAAAAAGACAAATTTATATTTATATATATAGTATATATTATATTATTATATAATATAAAAATCAAATAATTAATTAGTCACTTTAAAAAAAAAAAAAATTTTTTATGTACATAACATATATATATATATTATATATAATAAATGAATTGAAATTAAAAAAAAAAAAAAAAAAACGCTTTCTGTGATTGAAATTATTATTATTATTATTAATGTTTTTTTTTATACAAAATAATATTATAAAAAGAAATCAAAATTTTTTATTTTTATTTTACCTTCGATAGTATATTATTATTTTTATTAAATAAATAAATAAATAAAATTTTTTTAGTTATACGAATTTTATATACATAAAAAAAAAAAAGAAAAAATAAAATCGAATTAATTTATTATTATTATTATTATTATTGTTGCTGTTGCTGGTGCAGCAAACGGAAACGATTTCGATATCGATGAGATGTAATAATAATAATAATAATAATAATAATAATAATAATAATAATAATAATAATAATAATAATAATAATAATAATAGGATTATTGATGTAATTTTATTACGAGAATGAAATGTTTTTTTTCATGCAGGGTTTTTTCTAATATAAATCATTATTATTATTATTAATAATTTTTTAAATGTAAATAATTTTTTTGATTTTGGTATTAAATAATGTAATAATAATAATAATAATGATGGTAATGATGATGTCAATGATGATAGTTTAGGAGAGATGTTGAATGTACCGACGGAATGAAGTGCGACATAATAATTATAATAAGAAAGAATATTTATAAATAAATAAATAAATAATGAAATTAATAATAATAATAATGATGATGATGATGATGATAATGATAACGATAGTTTAATTATTAATAAAAGCGCGAACGCAAAGCCGCGATGATACTTTTTTTTATTACATAAAATTTTTATTTTTTTTTTTATAGGTGGAATTATTATTATTATTATCGTCATTATCATCATCATCATTATTAATATTAATATTTTAGAAAATTGATTTTTTTTTTTTCTAATTACACGACGCTCTTAAATGTGCCTTTAAACGAGAGAAAAAAAAAAAAATTTTTTTTAAATTGAATTTGTTTTTGTTTGTATTATTATTATCGTTTTAGTCGTCGTCGTCGTCGTCGTTTGTTGTTTGTAGTCGTATGAACAACAACAAACCAACCATATAGTAAGTTCGAGTTTTTTTTTAATATATATATATAATTAGACTCTCTATTTTTAGACAATGTGTATGTATTCAATTAATTATTTTGTCGTTTCCGACGTTCGACGTCACTTTATATCATTATTATTATTATTATTAATATTATTATTATTACTGTGATGACGGCACAAAAAATCATCATCATAATTATCATTATTATTATTAATAGAATTTTACGATGATGTTGATGAAACAAATAAATAAATAAATAAATAAAATGTTTCCTATTATTTAAAAAAAAATTATTATTATTATTATTATTATTATTATTATTATTATTATTATTATTATTATTATTAATATAGAATTAAATACACGGTGATAATAATATTATTTCAGTTGTTGTTATTAAAAAATTGAGCAAGGAGAGAAAAAGAGAAAGAAAGAAAGAGAAAGAGAGAGAGAGAGAGAGAGAGAGAGATCTGACCAAAAATTATTATTAATTAAATATATATATATATATATTTTAATAATTGTAATAATATATAAATTATAATAATAATAATAATACTAGTAAATAACTGTATTTGATTGAATCATTATTATCATTATTATTTAATGATAATAATAATAATTAATTAAAAAAAAAAGAAAAAAAAAACCGGTTGTTGATGAATATAAAAAAAATGATAATAATAATATTTAAAAGTGACAATAAACGGCCTTATCGATAATAATAATAATGATGATGATGGATAAATAAACCAAAAAAAATTTGTAATTTGTTGTAGTAATAATAATAATAATAATAATATAAACGCGATGAATTTTTTTATTAAAAAATAAAAAGAGAAAAAAAAAGAAAAAGAGAAAAATATATTTATATAAATAATTTATTTATTTATTAATGTTTATGTTAATGTTTGTAAATGGAAATTTGTTCCTTTGAATTTTTTTTCTGATTTATTCCTTTGGGAATTAATTATGGAAATGAGAAAAAATTTCATGGAGTTTATCAATGATAAGAAATCTTTGATAAGAAATTTCATTGAAACAAATCAATGACAATATCCAGGGACAGAGGAAAAAAATTTTTTCTTTATAATCCATCACGTTTGTTTCATTTAAATTTTTTGATAACGTTATCATCGATTCGGTCGGTACTGGAAAAACAAGAAAAAAAGAAAAAAATTTTTCTCCAGAAAAATTTAAAAACCGGAAGTTGATGGTATTGAAAAACTTACGACACGTTAAATCCGTATAAAAACAAGTCGTGTGTTGTGATAACAAATTTTCATCATCACGGGAAATAATTATTTTATAATATCCTCGTCCGTAATTTAATATAACCGGAAATGACGTCAAACGTTCATCATATTCTATATAAAAATGACTGTCGTTAAATTTAATATATTTCGTTATGTTTAAACTGAAAATAAATTTTAACAAATAATCAATTTATTTTAAATTTCGACATTTTTTCTCTTATTATTATCAAATCGAAAACAAACAAACAAACAGACAACAACCAAATACTTACATTGTCGGATTTAATTCTTTAAAATTTTTAACGGACGATAAATAATTAAAAACTTTCGCGTTTTCATCTTTTAATTTTAACGTGGCATTAAAAACTATAATTTTTTTTACAGGATAAAATAATAATAATAATAATAATAATATTAAAAAATAATTTTTCATTATTACTTTATAATAATAATAATAATAATAAACAAATGTTATCTCGTTTGTCGTTTTTTATCGAATGATTTTCAAAAAAAAAAAAAATTCAACATTTAAATTATTTTAAAAAAATCTTTCTCATGATTTATTCAGATGGAATAAATTTTAAATTTAAAAACCTTTTTTACATTTCTGAACACGGTCCTGATAATCATCATTATCAACACCACGATTTATCAAGTTTGCATTTTCCAATAAACCAAAGATACATAAATCTATTTTCCGGTGTATATTTTTCCATATTTAAATTATCAATTTTTAATCCTTGAGAATTCTACGGGAGAAGAAAAAACCGTTAAATATTGATTTGACAGGAAATGACGTCATTAATTAAAAAAAAAAATCATTTACTGACTATTTTCGGTGGAAATATTCTTTTGTAATCGATTTTGTTCGTATGTTCCAAATATGCGCTTTTTAATATTTTTATATTTCTGTCGGTTAAACAGTGTTTGCATAGGGTGCAATGTGAGGGACCGCACGTGTCGCACTCTAGGCTGTTGGTACATTCATCTCGAAATACCATCAAACTCTTTTCAGGTACTTCCATGTGTTCTTCTTCGTTCGTTCTTTAAAACATAAAAAACAATTCAATTTGTTTCCTCCTCCTCCTTCTCCTCCTCATCTTTTCCATCTCTCACCTTGGTGTTAAATATTCCGTACGTTTTCCGATACCAACGAGTGAAAATAAACCGTATAAAACATTTTCGTACAATTGTTTGTTCGGAGGAAAATGATCAGACGATAAATTCGGCGACATGTTTGCTTCCATAAGGTAAACATTTAAATCCGAATCCAATATGAAATCGAAACGTGACATTTCGAAAAAATTTCCATCATTTTTAAATCTTTTAGTTATTCTTAATATTTTTTCTTCTTTTTCTAAAAAAACCGACGCTATAGAATTTTCTATTTGATTCCATACCTTGGATGGATTTTTACCTTGAAAAACAAATTTCAACTCTCTATTACGTATATACTACGTCACGCGTGACGTCACAAAGATAAACTCCATTACCTATTTTTTTTATGTACGCGTTAAGAGTTTCTTTCATTCCGAATTTTCTTTCGTTGTAGGATTTTTTCAAAGATGGCATTTTCCATATTGGTATGTAATCATCTCCTACCACATATTTATCGACATCTTTTTCATCGAACGGTTCGTATAATTTCGAACAGAATCTAAAAAAACAAAATGGCAAATTATAATTTGTTTTCTTTTTTTTTTTTCATTTCAGGTATGCTATACCACCTGAGAAGAACGTCACCGTCGTATATGTAAACTCTTAACGGATCCACGGATGTTAAAACAGTATAAATTCCAATATCGAATTTATAACCGTCGATCAGTAACGGATTTTGTACGAATTCCTGAACGAACGTTCCACCCGAATTCAAATCAACGTTTTCGAAATCCACGATTTTAATACCTCTGTGTGAATTACTTTTCTGTACGAAAATCTTATCCGGATTATTTTTAACGTAATTTAATAATTCCTGTTTTTCCGTTGGTAATTGAAATGCTTTGGGTACGTGTTTCAAACCCGGTGTCACGGATAAATCCACTTTATTTGTAAAAAATCCAGATCCCGGAAAATGATTTACCTACGCGAGAAAATTTAATAAAGTTATTAATTGGAAAATAGTCGGAAATGGGAAAAAGTACGAACCTTTTGATGAGGTTTGAGGTTCTGTAGGAAATTCTTCGAAAATGGCGCCAAATCACCGAATGGATATAAATGTGACCATAACAGATCGAAATTCGTATCGTTGCCCACTCTCGAATATCCCAAACGTTCTAAAACGGCTTTGACATGTTTTAAATAACCTGAATCCACTCGATCTCCATATAACATATACGTGGGTTTCGTTATTATTATTTTATTTTCTTTTATTTTCCCACCACCATTATCATCATTATTATTATTAACACATTCGCATTTGTTTAACCAAATAATCGTTTTACCGAAAACAAATAAAAAAATCCCTATAAATAATAATAATAATTTTTTAGTTTTTATTTTTTTAAAATTTCTATAATAACGATCGAGTGTAACGGTTAACATTTTTTTTTTTTAAAAACAAAATCACAACATAATTTCACTTAAACACTTTCGAAATGTTTATTTCGTTTTTATTATATTAATTTATCCGATTTATAAGATTATTTTAACGAAACGTATATTTAAAAGTTGTTTTTTTTTTCTTACAATTTGTTTAAATTTTAACATGGCGGATTATATGGTAAAAGTAATCGTAACGACCGTTACTTCGAGACTGGGTCAAGTACCTGTAAACGTCAAGTATTCGAAACGTTCTATTAAATGACGTCACAATATGTTAATAATAAAAAAGTACGTTCAAGTATTCGCGATCGGCGAGAAGTTGTTGATTTTTAACGGTCGAAAAAAATCGATGTGATTTAATTTCGTGTCGAAAGTGTGAGTTAAACCGGTTATTACGGTTTTTTTTTGTAAAATTTATTTCGAACTCGTTTATTTAATTTTTCATTAACCCGTAATAACATTAACTTTATTTTAAACATAAAAAAAAAAAATTTTCCCCCATTTTTTTTCTGCATATTACGTAATTAGAAGGAAATTTGATTCGTTAAAAAAAAATAGATGTCAGTGTTTTCATTCAAAAAAATTTTTAATTATTTCGACAGCCGTTAATTAATTAATTTATTTAATTAGAAAAATATTTTTATATCAATAACGCTTATTTAAACATAACATTTTTTTATAAAAATAAATTAATTATTAATATATTTAACGAGGATGTTTTTTTAATACGATTGTATCGTGAAATTCTCCGGTGCCTTTAAGTTGTTCGTTTCTTTCTACCGACGTTTGTGACGTACTCGCGCTTTCTTTTGATTGGTCCGTTGATATTTGTATTGCGTCATCACGTTGAAGTCTATGCCTAAATCTTAAATAATAATAATAATTTATTAACATCGAGTCCTTTTATCGCGTGAAAATTTGAAAAACAAGGTTATAAAAATTTACCGCCTAAAAGTCGATTGAATTTTACTTGCCGCCATATGCAATTCTTTTTCGAGAACGTTCCAAACTTCACCGTCCGTTGAATTTTTCAAATTTGAACCGTCGGAGGATTTATAAACAATATAATCATCATTATCAACTGTAAGTTTTATTATTTTTTTAAAATATATTTTAAAAAAATTATTATTATTATTATAATTTAATTAAAATATTTACCATGAGATGGAGTGGCGTCGGTTAAACTTTTCGTCAATCGTTTTGTTTCCGGTTTTTCTCCATTTTCTTCTTCTTCCGGTTTGAGGTTTGATTCCGTGGATTCGGTTTCACGTATCGAACTTAGTGTTACCGTATCAGTTCTTATGAGTTTTTTTTTATTTTGCGAATCGTTTTGTACTATCGAATCCGACATTTCCTCTTCTTTTTTTTCAGATGTAATACCTAAAACGGATGCATCCGGTGCGGAAGGTCGAATAACGACACCGCCATCATCATCATCATCGTCTTCTTCGGCGTTTAACGGATGAGATTCTATAACTGTTACGATTTCAACGGATTGAAAACCAACATCGCTACCCAAAGTTTGAGAACTTGTTTCATTGGTGGTAGACTCCGAATTTACGTTATCAGATTTTGGTAAGTTTTTTTCTTTATCTAAATCTTCTTCTTCCGGTACGACATCTACTTCCTCTTCGTCTCGCGGTGGAATAGGTACGGCTCGAACGGCTCTAACTAATTCTTTTTTCGGTGTTTCTTCTTCCACTTCTAATTTTTTAACGTTTTTTTCGATGGAAATTGATGATGATTTGGTCGTATCATCGATTTCCAAAGAGCTGAACAGTCTTTCGTTGTTCAGAAACATTTCGTTCATGGTGAGTAAACTCACGTTTAACAATGGTAAGAAATAACTCGTGTTCGATACCATAAGATCATCTATTTCCGTTACTTCGTCGTTTATCATTTTGTCGTCTGCGTCGTCCGATGGGGAGACAATTTCTCGAACTATCATCCAAGAATCTTGATCGGATGTTTCTTTTTGAATTTGATAAGCTTTGATCATCGTTTCACTTTCGGAATCAGGATCCAACGAAGATGGTTCTTCGGTCATGTGTAATATTTTGTACGTTTTCGTAACTATTTCCGGTACTTCTAACGAATCGTAATAATGCGTTGCTATTCTTTTTATTTTTTTTTCACTGTCAAATGAATTGTCCTCGTCGTTGTCTTTGTCGTTGTCTTCTGACACGCCTTCTTTAACAATGCTGAATTTATCGACGACAGCGCATAATTCTTCTTCTTCTACGGGTACCCTATTTTCATCCGGTTCGATTACTTCGATATTTATAATTTTATTGCCGTCCACGTTTTCGTGAACGTTCGGTATGCTAAATTTGTCGACAACAGCACAACATTCTTCTTCTATGACTGGAAGTTTATCAACTACGTCGCTGTCGTCTTTCGGTTTTTCTTTTACCTCGTCTGGATTTTCCTCCGTGTCTTCATCAGTTAATAAATCCGAAGGTGATTCTTCAGGAATGTTTGGTAATTTTAATTCTATGTCTTCTATATCTTCACCAACTTTTCCTTTGGGATCTTCTTTGTCATCATCGACAATAACATCGGCTTTTACATCTTTGGTGTCTTTATCAACCGGACTTTCATTTTCCGAAACAATTTTCTTATCAATATCTTCGGATATCACTTCACCTTCTTTAATTTCTTCTGCTTTTCTTTTAGTTCTTTCGTTTTGTGTATCCGATTTAACATCATCATCATCATCGTTCAACGACGCCTTGAGTCTTTCCAATTCTCGTTCATCTTCACTTTCGGTCCCGTTATTAAATTCAATTTTTTCTTCTTCCGTTATATCATCGACTTCATTTTCAGTTTTAACTTCTTCGTCCATCGAATCTTTACCTTCTCCGTCAATTTCACTCCCTACGTTTAGTGCCACGTCTTTCTCGATGACTTCTTCAGAAACTTGTTTAGGAGGTTGCGTCTGTACAGGATCGATTATTTTCTCAACGTTTTCCGTCAGAACGATTTTTTCTTTTTTAACATCGTTTTCTATCACTTCCGTTTTTTCATTCTTTGTTTTTTCCGTCTTTTTCGACTGCGATTCTTCCAGTATTTTTTCATTTATGTGAAAAGGTATGTTTTCAGGTTTTATGTTACCGATGATCGACATTATTGCTGATGTCGGTTGAATTTTACGATCGCTTAACTCAATCATCGATTCGTTTTCGATAAATTTTTTACACGTTTCGATAACTTCCGTTTTATCACGTTTGACGGAATCTTTTCCTACAATTTCCGGTTTTGACGTTTCATTTGTTAAATGAGTTTTTTCAACGTGTGGATCGATATCGTTCGATCCGTGAATTTCAATCGTTTTAGTTATTTCGGTAACTGTTTCCTCTATGGTTTCGATGGTATAAGTCGATGATCCCGTGACTTCGACTTCCGTTTTAGTGGTAATTATTTCCTCGACTGCGCTTTCTATAACTTCCGTAACTTCATTCGCATCTTTTATTTTACTTCCCGTTCTTTCCATTTCTTCTGATTTTTCTATTATTTCCAATGTTAAACTCGTTTCTTCGATTTCTTCCACGTTTTCGAGTTCTTCGTCATCGTCTGCATTGTCGTTGGATTCTTTTGGTAACTTTTCTTGTTTAGCTTCTTCATCGTCTTTAATTATTTCTTCGGCATCTTTTTCCTCTTTATCACCCTTTATTTCTTTATTCTCTTTCGTGGGTTCTTTTTTACTTTCTTGTACTGTTTCAGTTGCAAGATTCTTCTTTAAGTTCTCCGGTTCTTTTGTTTCCGATTTTAAAATTTTCATTCCGGTGAGATCCACATCAGGGATCGTTTTTTGAGGTTTTTCAAGGTCAATAAAATCTTCTTTATCATTAGGTTCGATACCTGCTACATCGGCTTTACTTTCGTCATCACCTGCGATATCATCAGGATTTATTGGGTCCACCTGTAATTTTTCCTCTGGTTTACTTTCGACTTTGTCAAGGTTATCAGTTTCCTTCTGTAACGCGTCGGTAACTACTGTGTCGTCAGGTTCAGAATTTTTAGTTTCTGTTTTTTCATCATTTTGATGTTCAAGATTTGCAGTCTCTCCGTCGTTCTCGGAATCCTTAATTTCAATCACATCAACATCACGTTTTTCCCTTTTAACTTCTAATACATCCGCGTCGTCAATTTTTTCTTCAGAAGTTTTTTCTTTAAGAATATTTTCTTCTTCTTCTTCTTCTTCAGGTGTTTTAGCTTCCTTTTCTTTTACAGAATCGTTTTCTTTAGGTTGTTTTTCCTCATCAGGTGTTATTTCAATAGGTTTTTTATGTTTGTGTGTTTCATCACCAGGCTCACCTTCTGTGACTTCCGTTTTGGTTTCTGTGTCTTTAATTTCAATAACATCAATATCGTCGATTATTTTTAAAGGTATTGCTGATTTAAGTATACCACCTTCTTCTGCTTTCATTTCATCCTTATCGGATTTAATTTCCTTTTGCTCCGCCTCCTTATCAGGTTCAGGTTCTTTCAGTTCTGATTCTTTATCAGGTTCATCGTCAGTAGGTTTTGTTATCTTATCAGGTTCAGGCTCTTTCAATTCTGATTCTTTTTCAGGTTCATCGTCAGTAGGTTTTATTATTTTATTGGGTTCATTCTCCGAAGGCTCCACCTCCTTATCAGGAGTTTCTTTTACTTCTATGACATCAACTTTATCAATTATTTTGTCTGGAACGCCTTCAATAGGAGTCGATTCTTTTGCTTTAATTTCATCTACAGTCATCGATTCTTTCAAATTTGTCCCTTCGTCAGGTTCAGGTTCTTTTAGGTCCGATTCCTTATCAGGTTCATCCTTAGTAGGTTCTGTTTTTTCATCAGGAAGAGTTTCAACAAGTTTAGTTTTTTCATCAGTTTCAGGTTCTATCGATTCTGTTTCGGTTTTCTTATCCTTAATTTCAATGAAATCTACTTCTTCATCAGGTTTTTCGTCTTCTTTAACTTCAATTACATCGACATCTTTAATGGTCTTTTCTGAAATTTCTTCTTTGAGGGTAACTTCTTTTTCCTTATCTTTATTATCAGTTTCAACTTCTTCTGGCTCCGCCTCCTTATCAGGTTCATCATCAGTAGGTTTTGTTATCTTATCAGGTTCAGAATCTTTTAGTTCTAATTCTTTATCAGGTTCATCCTCTGTAGGCTCCGCCTTCTTATCAGGTAGCGTATCTTTTACTTCTATAACATCAACATCATCTGGAGCGCCTTCATTAGGAATAGATTCTTTTGCTAAAATTTCATCTTCAGTCACAGTTTCTTTTGAAACCACCTCCTTGTCAGGTTCATCGACAGGTTCCACCCTTTTATCAGGTTCACTTTCTTTATCAGTTTCTGGTTCCTTGGATTCTGTGTCGGTTTTCTTATCTTTAATTTCAATTAAATCTACCTCGTCATCGTGTTTTTCTTCTTCTTTAACTTCAATTACATCGACATCTTCAATGGTCTTTTCTGACATTTCTTCTTTTTCCTCGTCTTTATTATCAGATTCAGCTCCTTCTTTTTCCGCCTCTTTATCAGGTTCATCCTCCATAGGATCCGCCTTCTTATCAGGTAGCGTTTCCTTTACTTCTATGTCATCAACTTCATCAATTACTTTGTCTGGAACACCTTCAATAGGAGTCGATTCTTTTGCTAAAATTTCACCTTCAGTCATCGATTCTTTCAGTTTTGTTTTCTCATCAGGTTCATCCTCAGCACGTTCCACCTCCTTATCGGGTTCATCCGCAACAGGTTCCTCCCCTTTATCAGGTTCACTTTCTTTATCAGTTTCAGGTTCCTTGGATTCTGTTTCGGTTTTCTTATCTTTAATTTCAATAAAATCTACCTCCTCATCGTGTTTTTCTTCTTCTTTAACTTCAATTACGTCGACATCATCAATTATTTTTTCTGAAAGATCTTTATCAACAATATCTTCTTTTGCTTTATTCTCAGGTTCAAGTTCCTTTTCTTCCGTTTTTTTATCGGGTTCATCATCAGTAGGTGTTTTTAACTTATCGAGTTCATCATTCATAGTTTCTGCTTTTTCGTAAAAATCAGGTTTGGGTTCACCCACAAGAGGTTCCTCCTTTTTATCAGGTTCACTTTCTTTGTCATCTTCAGGTTCTTTAGATTCTGCTTCAATTTTACTATCTTCAATTTCAATTAAATCTTTTTCGTCATCGTGTTTTTCTTCTTTATCACCTTCTTCAGGTATTTTTTCTGGAATTCCTTCATTTAGGGTGACTTCTTTTGCTAAAATTTCATCTTCAGGTTTGGGTTCTTTGAGATCCGTTTTATCCTTTATTTCAGTTTCGTCTTCAGTTACAGCTTCTTTAGGTTCTTTTTCTTTGATTTCTATCAAATCTACGTTTTCGTCTGGTTTTTCTTCCTTAACTTCTATTACGTCTACATCTTCTAGTACCTTTTCCTCTGAAATCTCTTCATGGTGTGCCAATTCTTTTTCTTTAGTCTCATTTTCAAGTTCAGTTCCTTTCAATTCTGTTTCTTTATTAAATTCATCTTCTGTGGGTTTTGTATCTGTTTCCTTATCAACCTCAGTTTCCGTTAGTACAGTTTCTTTGGATTCAGTTTCCTCTTCAGTTGCAGCTTCTTTGGATTCCTCTTCAGTTACAGCTTCTTTAGGTTCTTTCTCTTTTATTTCAATGAAATCAACATTTTCATCCGGTTTTTCTTCTTTAACTTCTATCACGTCTACATCTTCCGTTGCCTTCTTTGAAATTTCTTCATCGGGAGTATCTTCTTGTGCTTTAATTTCACCACCTTCAGTTTCGGGTTCTTCGAGTTCCGTTTTCTCTTCCGGCTCAGCGTCTTTGTGTACCGTTTCCTCATCAGGTTCAATTTCCGCGGGTTCTGATTCCTCAAGTTTAGTTTCCTTCTCAGTTGCAACTTCTTCAGGTTCTTTCTCTTTGATTTCTATCAAATCAACGTTTTCGTCTGGTTTTTCTTCTTCAACTACTATTACATCTACATCATCAAATACTTTCTCTGATATTGATTTATCAATAATAGCTTCTTCAACTTTAGGTTCTTCATCTTCAGGTTCTTTGAATTCCTTTTCCCCATGGAGCTCATCCTCCGTGGGTTCCGTTTTACTATCAGATTTGTCTTCAGTAAGTTCTAATTCTTTTACCGTTTCAACTTTCTCAGGATCCTTTTCAGTCTTTGTATCCTTGGTTTCAATCACATCTACTTCTTCGGTTATTTTTTCCGAAGTTACGTCGGGTTTGTTGTCCATTTGTTCCGCTACATTATCATCTTTATCCTCTGTAGGTTCAGTTTCCGTTGGTACAGCTTTTTTATCCTCAGGTTTAGCTTCAGTTTTTGTGTCTTTGATTTCAATTACATCAACATCATCGATGGGTTTTTCTGGTATTACTTCATCAAGGGTCACTTCTTTTGCTTTAATTTCATCCTCAGGTACGAGTTCATTGGTTTTAGTTTTCTCTTCAGACTCATCATCGATGGGTTTTATTTCCTTATCAGGTTCGATTTCCGTTGGTTCCATTTTAGTTATTGCTTCTTTAATTTCAATCAAATCCGCGTCTTTGTCTTGTTTTCCTTCTTTGACTTCAATCACATCAATATCGTCAAGAACTTTTTCAGGAATTGCTTCGTCCATAAGATTTTCTTTTTCTGTACTTTCATCATCGGGTTTAGCTTCTTCCTGATTTGTTCCTTCTGTAGGTTCTGTGGGTTCCAAATCCTTATCGGATTTGCTTTCAGTATGTACTGTTACTGTTAATGGTTCAGCTTCTTTAACGTCCTTTTCAAACTTTTTATCTTTGATTTCAATCACATCAGCATTTTCAGTTATTCTTTCCAAAGTTTCTTCTTTTTCTTTGATTTCATCGTCGGGTTCAACTTCTTTTTTCTTCGCTTCCTCATCAGGTTCAGTTACCATTAGTTCTGATTCTTTATCAGATTTTTCCTCAATGGGCTCCGCTTCTCTATCAGGTTGTTTTTCTTCTTCAACTTTTATTACATCAACATCATCAATTACTTTTTCAGGAATAGCTTCTTCAGTGGTAACTTCCTTTGCAGTAATTTTATTCTCAGGTTCGGGTTCTTTGATTTCCGATTCCTTATCGGTTTCATCCTTTGTAGGCTCCGTCTCGGGTTCAATGTTTTCAATTTCCGTTTCCTTTTCAGCTTCAGCTTCCTCAGGTTCTTCACCTTTCGTCTTTTTGATTTCAATAAAATCTACATTTTCTTCATCCTTTTCCTCTTTAACTTCAATCACGTCTACTTTTTCAATTATTTTTTCTACAACTTCTTCCTTAGGGATAATATCTTTTGCTTCAGTTTCATCTCCGGTTTTGGATTCTTTTAACTCCGTATCATCCTTTTCAGGTTCATCCTCAGCATGTTCCTCCTTCTTTTCGGGTTCATCTTCCGTATCTTTTGATTTTTCATCAGGAAGAATTTCAACAAGTCTAGTTTCTTCATCAGTTTCAAGTTCCTTGGATTCTGTTTCGGTTTTCTTATCTTTAATTTCAATTAAATCTACCTTTTCATCAGGTTTTTCTTCTTCTTTAACTTCAATTACATCAACATCTTCAATGGCCTTTTCTGAAATTTCTTCTTTTTCCTTGTCTTTATTATCAGATTCAACTTTTTCTTTCTCCGCCTCCTTATCAGATTCAGGTTCTTTCAGTTCTGATTCTTTATCAGGTTCAGGTTCTTTTAATTCTGATTCTTCATCAGGTTCATCGTCAGTAGATTTTGTTATTTTATCGGGATCATCCTCCGTGGGCTCCGCCTCCTTATCAGGTAGCGTTTCCTTTACTTCTATGACATCACCATCATCAGTTACTTTGTCTGGAACTCCCTCACTAGGAGTCGATTCTTTCGCTTTAATTTCATCTTCAGTCACAGTTTCTTTTGATTCCACCTCCTTGTCGGGTTCATCCACAATAGGTTCCACCCTTTTATCAGGTTCACTTTCTTTATCAGGTTCCTTGAATTCTGTTTCGGTTTTCTTATCTTTAATTTCAATAAAATCTACCTCCTCATCGTGTTTTTCTTCTTCTTTAACTTCAATTACATCGACATCTTCAATGGTCTTTTCTGAAATATCTTTATCAACAGTATCTTCTTTTGCTTTATCCTCAGGTTCAACATCCTTTTCTTCCGTTTTTTCATCAATTTCATCGTCAGTGAGTTTTGTTAACTTATCGGGTTCATCCACCGTAGTCTCCATTTCCTTATCAGGTTCAGTGCCCTGAATTTCGGTTCCTCTCTCAGTATCATCTTCCATAGGTTCCGTTTTAGTTTTTGAATCCTTAATCTCGATGAAATCTACATTTTCGTCTTGTTTTTCCTCTTTAACTTCTACGACATCAACCTCATCTGTTGCTTTTTCAGGTATTGCTTCGGTAGTGGTGACATCTTGTGCTTTAATTTCATCTTCAGGTTCGGGTTCTTCGTGTTCCGTTTCAGTTTTCTTGGGTTTGATGTCTTCATCAGTTACAGCTTCCTTTGGTTCTGTTTCGGTTTTAGCCTCATCACCTTCAGTTGTACCTAATTTGTCATCTTGTTTTCCCTCTTTAATTTCAATAACATCAACATCGTCATCTTTAACTTTTTTGGAAATTGTTTTGTCTCCTTTTGCTTTATCCGATTCATCTTCAGTAGGTTTTGTTTCCTGTACCGTCTCATCTTCTTTAGAATCTTTTTCTGTTTTCGTATCTTTAATTTCAATTACATCGACATCGTCAATCTTACCGTCGGGTTCAACTTTCTTTTCCTCCGTTTTACCAAGAGATTCATCTTCTGTAAAATCAGTTTCCTTATTGGATTCGGTTTCCGTTCGTTCAGTTTCTCTTTCAGTCTCAGACTCTTTTGATTCCGTTTCCGTTTTCGTTTCGTCGCTTTCAATTAAATCTAATTTTTCATCTTTGATTTCCTCCACGTGAGCACCATCAGTGACCTTTTCAGTAACCGTCGCTTCTTTTGCTACGATTTCTTTTTCTGTCTTCTTTTCTTCTGCTTCCTCGCCGGAAATTTTCTCTTCTTCACCTTTTCTTTCTTCTTTAGATTTCAATGTAGTTCCTTCTTTACGTTTTTTACTTTTGATTTTAGTATCAGATATTTCAGACAAATATTGTTTCACTGGCCTTTGTAGGATCTTAGCTTTTTCGGCACCACTAACAATCGTCTTTGCGACAACCGCTCCTCCTTTCGACAAAGATCCCACTTTGTTTCTTTTCGTTTCCGGTCTTTTAATGACTCCTGATTGTTTTTCATCACTCGTTGATTTTTCTCTCTTTCTAATACCCTCCAACTTAGATTTATCTCTAACGTTTGTTATCCTTTCCGGTGATTTTTCCTCTACTCTAGCCTGTCTTTCCAACCTTTTACTTCTTCCGTCTGATCTTTTTATCACTCCCGGTGTTTCTTTTCTATGCGATATCGGTTTTCTTATTTCCTTTGTCACTAATTTATCCACATCAACATCCGAACGTTTCGACAAAGTTTCTTTTTTTTTTAATGGATCGCTTTGTGGTTCGCGCCTGGTTTTTACTCTCGGGGATATATCTTTGTAATCAACAACTTTTCTAGAATGTTTACTGTCGAGTTTATTAGCAGCATTTCTTGCTTCTTCGAAAGTTTTTCTAACTTTTCCTTTTCTTGGAAATGGTAACTGTGGTCTGTAGGTATTCATGTTGTTCGTTTTTGTTCTCGTATCCTCGGATTCTTTTTTTTCTTGTGCGTTGTCTTGTTCGCTTGGGATTTCTTTTACCGTAGCCTTATCACCATCTTGTATCTCGATACTACTATCTTCGTTGGATTGTTTTTCTTCATGTTTTTTACTTTCTTCAATAGTTTCCGCGTTACTTATTTCATCTTTTGTTGTTATCGAAACGTCTTCATTGTTTTCCGTTTCTACTTCTTCAGTTTTTAATGAAAGACTTTCATCGTTTTCTGTGACGTCATCTTTCGTCATTTTTTCTTCTTCAAGGGTTTGACTATCAGTTAATTTTTCCGTTTTGTCATTTTCATCATTTTCTTCTTTTGTTAATATAGAACTGTCGACAGCACCCCTGTCGATTTCAGCTGGAACTGTGATATCAGTATCCTTCTCAACGTCTTTTTTACTATTTTTGTCGGCATCTTTTTCATCAACGATTTCTAGTTCATCTTCAGTATGTTTGCCATCTTCGTCAATAGGTTCTTCTTTTTCCACGGTATCTTCAAAACTATCTTCATCGTAAATATTTTCTTCATCGTCGGAATTTAACGTATCGTCGTTGATTGTTTCCTCTTTAGTGTCTTCAATTATTTCTGCTTCTGTTTCATCTTTGACCTTTTCTTTTTCTTCTTTCGTTTCCGTTTCTTCTTCTATTTCTCGTTTTTGTTTTACTCCAGTTTTATCGATTTCTGTTTCTTCCTCTTCTTCGTCCATTTTTTCTTTTTCAATTAGGTCTGGTTCTGTTTCGTCTGTTTTAACCTTTTCTTTTTCTTTTTTCGTTTCCGTTTCTTCTTTATTGGTTTCTTCTTCTATTTCTCGTTTTTGTTTTACTTCAGTTTTATCAATTTCTGTTTCTTCGTCTTCTTTGTCCATTTTTTCTTTTTCAATTATTTCTGTTTCTTCGTCTTTTTTGTCCATTTTTTCTTTTACAATTATTTCTGTTTCTTTTTCTTCCATCTCGACTTTTTCGTCTTTTTTTAATTGAATTTCATCTTTTTCAATTTCTTCCTCCTGTTTTTCTATTACTTTTGTTTCTTTTTCTTCAACTTCTTTTTCAATTTCTTTTTCTTCCGTCTTGACTTTTTCCTCTTTTTCTATCAGTTCTATTTTTTCATATGTTTCGTGCTTTTCTCTTACTTCAATCTCTTCCTTTTCAATCTTTTCTTTTTCTATATGAGTTTCCTCTTTTTCTTCTTCTTCCTGATCAACCTTTTCTTTCTCTATTTGAGTTTCTCCCTTTTCTTCTTCTTCTTCTTTTTCTAATAATCCTATTCTTGTTTGAGATTCCTCTTTTTCAACATCTTTTACATCTCGCATTTCTCCTTTTTCTTCTTCTTCTTTTTCCTTATCAATGTTTTCTTCCTCTATTTGAGTTTCTCCCTTTTCTTCTTCTTCTTCTTTTTCTAATAATCCTATTCTTGTTTGAGTTTCCTCTTTTTCAACATCTTTTACATCTCGCATTTCTTCTTTTTCCTCTTCTTCCTTTTCTATCAATTCTGCTTCTGTTTGAGTTTTCTCTTTTTCAACATGTTTTACATCTCCCGTTTCTTCTTCTTCTTCTTCTTTTTCCGTCTTCATTTCTCTACCTTTTTGTATAAAACTCTCTTCCTTTTCAATTATTTCTTCCACAGTAGTTATTTCTTCTGTTCTTCTTTCAATTATCTCTTCTCTTTTTATCGTAATTATTTCTTCTTCTTTTTCAACAATAATTATCTCTTCTTTTTCTTCTATGATTTTTTCAGTCTCAACATTCTCTCCCCCAGTTTGACCTTCTTCTACTTCTGTGTCTTGCCTTACGTCACCTTCCTCTTTTTCTTCGGCGACTTCTTTTTCCATTTCCTTATCATTCTCGTTTGTTTTTATGTTTTCATCATCATTTTCCTCCAAATTGTTCACATCGTCCGGTCTTTTACCCTTTTTCATCTTTTCCGCTTCTTCTACCGGCACACTCCCAACTAAATTTTTAACTTTTGTCTGAACATTTTTTTTTTTTTCATGACCTTCCTTTTTAGATTTATCTCTCGTTAAATTTTTTTTAACAACAACATCATCATCACCTTTTTTCGAAATCAATTTATGTTTTTGTTCAGAACTAATTGTTTTACCTAATTTTTTACTATGTGATTTTTCTACATTTCTACTACTACTACTACCACCACCACCACTACTCTCCTCCTCCCTTACTACTTTTGATTTTTTAATTTTTTCATCATTTTCAGTTAGAATCGAAGTTTTTTTTTTTTTTCTTGTTTTTTTTTGTTCTTCGTCCTCTTCGTGACGGGGGGATTTATTTTTTTCGATAATTTTTTTATGTTCAGGTGATAATTTATTCGTTTTTATCGCTTGTGCAAGGGTTAAATATTTCGATGAATTTTCCTCCCTTAGTTTTCCGTCATCATCATCATCATTGGTCATTTTTAATTTTTTCGGTGATCTTCGTGGGGATTTATTTTTTTCAACGATATTTAAATGTTGTGGCGAAAGTTTATTTGTTCTAATAGCTTCTCCAAGTGTTAAAACATCAGAAGAAGAAGTGGTAGTAGTAGAGGTGGTGGTGGTGGTACTCACAGTCGTTTTACCACCCCGAGTGATAATTTTCCTCGGGGAAATTTTATTTTTTTCAACGATTTTCCTATGCGCCGGAGAAAGTCGATTCCCACTCATTGCTTCTCCCAATGTTAAAGCTTTCCTTTTAGCAGGACTTAAATCCACAATATCCCCAAGGACCATACCCTCGTATTTCAAAGCTCTTCTTGGTGATACGGTCGTCGATGTTGTTTTCCTTCCCGGCGATAAAATTTTTTTCTTTTCCGTAACCGTCAACGCCATTTTTTTCGACGGTGGGGATTCGTAAACGTCAGTTTTATTTTTTTTATTCCCGATTTGTTCTTGTCTTAAAATTTTATATTTTTCCGGGATTTGACTCCTCGATGGGGATGCAGAAAATCTATCGGATGCGGATTTGGGAAAATGTCGAGCTAATTTAATCAAATCGTCATCATCGTCGTCGTCTGAAATTTTCTCATCTAAAAAAAAAAAAAACAAAAAAGGGGGAGGGGATGGGGTGAATATCAAAACCGGAAGTTGTAACGAAACAAAAATTATTATTATTATTATTATTATTTAATTACCTGTTTTCTTATCGCGTAGTCGTAATAAATTTTCAAAATAATTTGCGGCAAATATATAAATATCATCGGTTTTAGGCTGTTCTTTCAATACTTTTCTTATCAATCCTTCGAGCGCCATGTCTAAATTTTCCGGTATTTGTATTTTTAAACTCGTCGTTTTCGAATTCAAAGCAGACGACGACAAATTTTTTAGATTCATTTTTATCGGGATTTATTATTATTATTATTCACCCTTCGAATAACGAATGTTAACTAAAAGACTTTTTTCTTTTACCCGGGTTGGTTTTCCGTCGTCACTCTGGTAACCTTTTTCACTCCTACCACTTACCCTTAACTTTCTCTCTCTCTCTTTCTCTCGTTCCGTAAGCTAAACGTATAATTTTTATTTTACTCTTTTAACCCCCTACTCGCTACCACGAATTTTTCCTTTCGAAATTTCTTTTTTTGTTTTCCCCCCTCCCTCCTCCTCCCTCCTCACCAACGTTAAAAATCGATATTATTTAAATTACCCTAATAATAATAATAATGATGATGATGATGATGATAATATCGTGTATCGTGCGAAACGTTTTAAGGTGATTTGTTTGTTCTGTTGCATTGGTGACGAGATTTTTTTTTTTTTAAGGGTGGTTTGCGCAGTTATCGACTAACAACAACAGCAACAACAACAACAAACAACTAATGACCATTTTATATGTTTTGAAATTGTCTAAGGACATTATTATTATTATTATTACTATTACGTCATTTATTAATTAACCTTTTTTTTATTCCCTCCTCTCTCTCTCTACCCTCCCCTCCCCTCTTCCTCTCCCTTGAATATAGAAAATTATCGATTTTGAAAAGCGAAAAAGTAATTTAGTCAAAAAAAAAAAAAAAAAAAAATTATTAAGGTTAACGACACGATTAAATTTTAAACTATTTATTATTAAATTTCGAATGATGATGATGATGATGATGGTAGTAGCAGAAGGTTTTTTTGTTTTGTCTTTTACACGCTCATGACGTCATCATCATCATCATGGCTGAATTTAAAAAATAAAGAGTATAATGACGATGATAAATTATTTATTTTTGACGTCAAGTTTTTTAAAGTTTTTTCGACGGGTATTTTATTATTATTATTAAGATGGAGTCGTTTTTTTTTATTGACACGAAAAAAGTCGTGGAAGTAAAAAGAATAAAATCACGCCATTTTTTTTTTTAACATTTTTTTTATTTTAAGGATTTTCCAAAAAAATGGCGTGAAAATTATTTTAAATAAAAATCCACCACCGTATTTAAAATTAATTCACGTTTGAAAAATTTTACGGATGATCAATCAAAGCGTGATAATAATAATAATAATAATAATAATAATGATGATGATGATGATGATGATGATGATGATGATGATGATGGTGATGATGATGATGATGTTCTTTACGTGTGAGTTTAAAAATGCGTAAACGAATCGAAATATAAAGGAAGAGTTTGTTGTTGAGGAGGAGGAAGGGGGATTGGGGAGGGTAGAGGGAAGAAGAGAAGGATAGGAAGGGGATAGAGGAGGGTAGAAGGGGGTAGAAGGAGGGGGGGTAAAAAAAATTTTTCTTTTCTCGTAATTCGAAACTCATCGAACTCGAAACGTTTTAATTTTTTTTTTTTTTTCTATACAAAAACTTTCACGTTTAATTAAACGTTATATAATAATAATAATAATAATGATGATGATGATGACGATGACGATGACGATGACGATGACGATGATGATGATGATGATGATGATATTAATTCATGACGTCGACCGGTTTTTTTTTTTTTTTTTTTCAAATTTCATAAAATTTCCTTTTTTTTCCTACAGAAATTTTATCAAATAATGATAATAATAATAATGATAATAATGATAAGAGGAAACACGGTTGTAAATTATTTACTTTAAGGTTCGTTTAATTACTTTTTTTTACAGTAATAATAATAATAAATGTTTCCCCCCTTCTTATATTAATTCAACGAATTTTTACATATACGAATTGATTATTATTATTATAATTATTCAAAGGTCAAAAAACGAATATCAATAAAAATTAATGGGCAATGCCATATATAAACTTTGACCCAAATAATAATAATAATAATAAAATTTCGTATTTTTTTTTCTTTTCTTTTCTTTTTCTTTTTGTACAAATGCATTGTGACGAAAACTAGGGAGAGGGAGAAGGAGGGAGAGAGGAGAGCGAGAAGAGGGGATGTAGGGGATAGAGGAAAAGAAGGAAGAGAGAGGGGGGAAAGGGAGGGGGAGGAGAGAGAGAGAGAAAAAAAATTAAATTAAATTGTGGAGAATTGATTATGATTGCCCACACTCTCGCACGCACACACGCACTCACGCACATTCATATTAAAATTGATTCCTTTTAAATTATTTTTATTAAAGACATATTTAAATAAATTGACATCCGTCACTTGTATGAATAATAATAATAATAATAATAATACATAATCCAAAGTAGGGTAAAGTGTCAATATATAAGTAAATAAATTTTAATTATTATTATCATTATTATTATTATTTTAAATAATTATTATTATTATCGTGTGTGTGTGTGTGTGTGTGTGACGTGAAGTAAAACCCACGAGCGCGTGTGCGTGTGTTACACAGTTAAAGGGTTCATCTGCTGCCACTTTTATTTTTGTAAAAAAAAAAAAAAAAAAAAAAATGGCGGAATCATTTCTTTCTTTTTTCCCTCTAATCCTTTTGACCGATGAAACATGTAAAAGGATTTAGTAATAATAATAATAATAATGAATGTATTTGTTGTTAAAAATAATTTTTACTAGTCAAAGAGATTGTTATGTGCGTGTGTGTGTGTGTGTGGGGGGGGGGGAGGTGCGTGTATGCGTTCGTGTTTAATAATAAAAGAAAATTCATGCGAAAATAATTTTTTTGAGTTTGCGTCGTGACGCCACCACCGCCATTATTATTATTATTTAAAAAAATTTTATGATTTTTTTTTGTTACTTTTAATAAATTTATGACGTGTGTCGCATCGTGTTATAAAAAAAAAAAAAAAAAAAAAAAAATTTATTAAGTCGGGAAAAAAGGCGGGAAAAAAAATTATTTAAATAATTAACAAGAAAAAAAAAAAGTTTTAACGATGGCGCGAAAAAAAAATTTTTTCTTTTTTTTTTTACAAAAAAATCGTCACGTTGCCGTCATTTAAATCGTATCGAGTTATCGATAGTTATTTTTTTAAAAAAATCGATTCTCGTTTGTTTTATTTATTTTTTTCCGTGTGTAAATGCGAAAATGATTATTATTAATTAATAATTATGTTATTATTAGGTTATTAATTAGGTTATTATTATTAATTAATAATTTTGTTTGTTTTATTTTTATTGTTTATTAACTAAAAAATTTAAGTGGTTTCTGTTGGCTTTCAATATAATTATAAAAAAAAAAAAAAAAAATTTCTTAAAAAAAAAAAAAAAAAAAAGTTTGTAGGCCGGCGGAAACTACTCATATTTTTAGTTAAATTCGTCGTTCCAGAGAGAGAAAGAGATAGAAAACAAAGGTAAAAGTATATGTGTGTGAGAGTGAGATAGAGAGAGTAAGAATGAGAAAAAAAATCATTCATTATTCATTTTATTTTATTTAGATGTACATAATAATATTTATAATAATAATACTGACGACATTGTGAATATACAATTAGAAAAATACTTTTTTTCCTTTCCTTTCCTTTTTTTAATTAATTTTAATTAATTAATTAATTAATTAAAATTTTTCATCGCTTGCCAAATCTCCTAAACACATTTTATCATCACCGTAAAAACATTGATAAACTTTTAAACGATTTTTTTGACAACCTTTACAAACGTTGCATTTACATAAAAGATTTGGCGCACATTTATTTTTACCCGTTTTATCGCAATGTTCTCCGGGGCCCTGTACAAACAAACAAACAACCAAACAAACATTATTTGCTAAATATCATATATTTTTTTATTATTTACTTACTTTAAAACAATTTATGTAACCGCATTTGTCTTTGTACACGCCATTAACGCAACCACCCGCCGGTTCGTCGAAACAGTCTTCATTGAAATTACATTGTCTGCAACGTTCATCTAATAAACTACTTCTTCTATCGATTCTAAAAAAATTTTTGTAAGTTATATATATATAATTATTATTATAATAATTTATTAAAATAATTAAATAAATTTAATTTTTTTAAGGTTTAAGGTTTAATCACCTGTCGTCGATTTTAATTATATGAGGATAAGATTTTCCATAATCGGCAATAAAAATTATTACGGTGGCTATTATAAGAAGACTAGAAGATAACATCGTCATGCCTGAAAAATCTGTAACAACCAGAACAACAATCAGAACAATCAAAAAAATGTGTGTCGGAAAATTTTTCGATATTTGTTCTAAATCTATAATTAATTTTTTTTTTTTTTTTTAATAAAAATTATCTATTAACACTTTTCTTGGGGGTCAAAGAGTTAAATAACCATCAAAATTAAAAAAAAAAAAAAAAATTTTTTTAGGCCTTTTCTCGAATTTCTCTCTCTCTCTCTATCTCTATCTCTCTATCTTTATTTAATTAATTAATTGATAACAAAAGGTATAATTAAATATATTTGATAGTGTTTTGTCTTGGAAAAAAAGAGAGAGAGAGAGAGAGAAACAGGTGTAAAATTAAAAACCTAAAAATAAAAAAAAAATCTCAGGTGAATTTTTTAAACGATTAATAAAAAAAAACAACGAAAATTATTATTATTATTATTGAATGGTTTTATTATTGATTATTTAATAACGATAAATAAATAGGTTGATTATTAATTAATAATTATTAACAAACAGACGATTGTTTTTAATTTTACAAATCAAAAAAAATTTATTTAATTAATTGTTTGTTGTACTTCTTACACAATCGTTTTAAATTTTTTCTTTTTTTTTTTAAACAATTGTGGATACTTTACAAAACAAAAAAGAATATTTTATTACTTATTAAACAAACAAACAAACAAGCAAGCAAACAAACAAACAAATAATTCGAGTAATAATGAATTTTTAAAAAAAATTAATAAATTTATATTTAACTTAAGGAAATAATTATTATTATTAATTGTCGAAAAATGTATGTCGAAAAATTTTTCGAATTTCTAATTTAAATTATTAAAAATTATTTCGAAAACTCCCCTCCCCCCCCCAAAAAAAAAAAAAAACAAACAAACGAGAAAATGTAAAAAAAAATAAAATAAAAAATAATCTTACTAGTGATTTATTAATAACAACGTAACATTTATACATATTCACTAAAATCTTCGGACGATCGAAAAAACCAAACCGGGTGGTTTTAAACACGACAACAGAGTGTGTGTGTTGTGTGTGTGTGTGTAAAAAAATACTAAAACTAATAATAATAATGATAATAATAATAATAATAATCAAAACCGACAATCTAGCATAATTTTATGATCATTCTTTGAGTCTGTGAATGGAAAACAAACTAATCAATATGGACTTGACATTATCGATATTTTTTTTTTTTTTTTAGACAAAGAAGCAACAAAAGTTTAAAATCGGTTCAGAGGTCGTGCGAGAGAGTGAGTGAGACTTTAATAATAATAATAATAATAATAATTTAAAAACAAGGCAAATTAATTTTTATAAATAAATAAAAAAAATTTCCTTTAATCTATCTTTCCTTATACATATGTATTATTAACGGTCAACGTCATCGTCATTTTTAAAAATTTTTGCCGCTAATTTTTTTTTTTTTAAATTTTAAGTTGGCACTTTCGATTATTAAAAGTGTCCGCCATTTTTTGTTGTTTATGTTACCCCCGAGCGTTTTGATTCGTAACGTTTTTTTTTTCGTTGTTTACGTTTAATTAAGTTATTTATCGAGTAATTAATAAGTCGTAATTAATAAAATAACATAGATAATGATAATAATTAACGTTTTAAATGTTTTTATTTGAAATAAATAAGTAAATAATTGTGATTTTTAATAATTATTATTAACATTCGTGATGTTTACAAATGTAATATGAGGGGGGAAAAAAAATTTTTACTTAATACTTTTACATTATTTTAGTTATTATTATTATTAATATTATATCACACAGGATATTTAGCAAGAATTTATTTAAATAAATAGAAAAAAAATAAATACATAACACGTCTTTAAAAACAATTTTGACAGATAAATATAATGAAAACGTTCAAGGACATAAAATTGAACATTCTTCCCATTTAATAAATAAGTAAATTATTTTTAAAAAAATTTACATAACCATTTTGATTTGTTTAAACATCATATTATTATTATAAACATTAGTAAGTAATTAATTGCATTGATATGATAATAATAATAATTTTCAATACAAACAACAATAAAAAAAATTTTTACTCACCAATAATATTATTTATTTATTTTTTTTTTTTTTCAGTACTTTTTCCAAAGTATCAACAACAGACTGAGAAAGATATTGAAAAAATATTCCATTTTTATACAAAATTTTTTTTCATTGAATATTTATTAAAATGAATTCAGAAAAAATTAAGGGGAGGAAGGAGGGAGGAAGGGATGAAGGGAGGACATTGAAAAAAAAATCATTTGTCTTAAACTTATTCATGTGAGTTAATACAAATTGATGTATTTTATTAATTAAAAAAAAAAATAATAATAATAATTAAAAAAAAATATATTTTTTCCAATTCATTAAAAACGACACGTTCGATATTAATAATAATAATAATAATTTTCAATGAATATTTTATTGATTTTTTTTTTATTTAAATATTAATAAAAAATTAAATTTAAAAAAAAAAAAAAAAATGTCGTGTTGCATATCATCATCCAATCATCATAAACATAATTACCTAATCTTATTATTATTATTATTAATAATGATAATAATTAAAATGAAAAAATTTTTATTATTTTAAATGTTTTCTTTTAATATTCGTTTGCCATAAAAAAAAACCCACTCGGGTCACGGCCTCAGTAATGATAAAATAATAATTATTATTATTATTTGTAATAAGAAATCAACATTTAAATAATATTATGTATAATTTTTTTTGTTCTTTTTCACAAAAAAATTGTTTATTATTATTATTATTATTTTCACTCATAATCACGAGGATTCGTGTCTTAATATTTGTGTCAAAAGTTTTTCCAACATTTATTTCAGGTTTCTACCCCCCGATTTCTAAGAAATATCAGTGATGTTCCATGCCTGATGGATAGATTATAACCTATGACATCACAACAATCATCTTGTAAGTCGTCTCAATGAGACCGCCTTATTCGATGGAAACGAGTCATCTCCTGTATTCCTGGCCTCCAGTAATTGACATCTCGGGAGTGTCCGGGAACAGGAGAAGTGAGATGTCGAGCTGAATCAGGTCTACAATACGTCACAACTTACCAGTGATCTCAGTGATATAGTTGCGCAGCGCCACGCATCAGGAGCCAGGCTTGGTGCCAAAAGCAGAGGGATGGCGGGGGGAATGTCCCTCCTTCGTGCGGCTGGACAGGAGGAGAAGGAAGCAGCGGCGGAGGAGGCGGCTTTCCGACTCCCCGTGATCAGGAGAGGAGGACTGGCTCGCCTGGATGGGGAGGATGTTCCTCGAGTCGGCGGTCAACGCAGCTCGCTGCGCTCTGACCGCCGTCAGGGGAAGCTCCAACCTAAAAGGCAGCCACTCGAAAACAATCAAAGAAGGCATCACCCTGCTGCTGGCGGCGACGCAGGAGTTGGCGTCACGACTGACGGATTCCACGGCCGACGATCGGGTCGCCAAACTTAAAGAAGAATTGAACCTGGCGAACTCCACCGTCAGGCAACTTAGGGCGGAGAAAGAAGCTTGGATGACGCCCATACCGAAGAGAGCCACCAAGGAAGCTGAGTCCGGCACGGTCGACCTGGTCGCATCCCGGGATGCGATCACGTCTCCGATCGTGCTCAGGCCAGAAAAAACGTCGCTGCCGCCGTGCACGGCGACGACACCAACACGCAATGACGAAGAATTCATCGTGGTGACCAGGCGGAGAAAGCAAAAAAAGAAGAAGAAGAACCAGGAAGAAGCTCCGCCGAATCCAAATCCGAATCCGAAGCCGGCACCGAAACCGGCTCCGAAAAAGCTGACTGTTAAACCACCGCGAACCGCCGCCGGTGGGCGGGTACTCGAAATTCGAGAGGAAAATAGGGCGGCCAAGGCGGCGGAACTGGCCGCAAGGATTCAAAACGCAGTAGGATCGATGGGGGTCACGGTCTCGTGTCCCGAGAGGCGAGTCGACCTGCGCGTGGAAGGTCTTTGCGAGTCGGCGACGTCGTCGATGGTCGCAACGGAATTAGCGAGGGCAGGGGGGTGCTCGCCATCAGACATCTCTGTGCGCTTCCCGACCGGTGAAGGCTCACAACGCTACTCGTCTGCGTACGCATCCGTCCCGGCGGCTGCCGCGTCCCTCCTCTCGAAGGCGGGCGCGGTCGTCGTCGGGTGGGTGCGTGCGAGGGTGGTCCTGCTACCGAAACGCAGGATCATTTGCGTCAGGTGCCTACACCCGGGTCACGTAGGCTCGCGATGTCCCAATGTCAGGGAAAGGGGAGATGCGGCGCTGGATCGATGCTTCAGGTGCGGGGAGAGAGGGCACCGGGCAAGAGAATGCGCAAACAAAATCTGCTGCGCTCCCTGCTCGGAGGCTGGCCGGCCGGCTCAACACCGGCTCGGTGGGTCTACGTGCGGGGCGCCGGCCGTCAGGGGTAGGCCCATCCGGTGGGAATCCGATGCCAGGAACGCGGGGGGAAACGTCAGGGGGGTAACTTTCGCACGTCAGCCGGGAACGAACGGCTCCGCCGGTAGTTCCCCGTGAGCATGGGTAGGTTTCTCCAAATAAATCTGAACAGGTGCAAAGGGGCTCAGGATCTCTTGCTTAACTTGATAGGGACGTGGGGCGTCGGGATCGCGATGATCTCGGAACCCCACGTCGTTCCGTCGGGGGGAGGGGGTTGCTCGGCCGGCACTTGGTTCGCATCCGAGGACGGCGGGGCCTTGATCTTCTTCTCGAGCTCGGCGTCGGGTCCGAGACCTCGGGAACTGTTCCACGGGATCGACTTCGTTATTGCAAGCTGGGGAAATTCTGTACTGGTATCGGTATACGCGTCGCCAAATCGTCCGTTGAGAGTGTTCGAGGATCAGCTGCGGGCGATTTCCAGGGAGCTGGACAGGTTAGGGAACTCGCGTCCGATTCTGATGTCCGGGGACCTCAACGCGAAACACACATCGTGGTCATGATACGCGACCAACGCGCGCGGCCGATTGTTAAGACAGTGGTT